CGCAGAGAGATGCTGAGCTAGCATTGCCTCCGCACACCCCACCCCGCGTCCCCGTCGTCGTGGTTACATCAGGACGATACACTTGTCCCCGCACACCCCACCCCGCGTCCCCGTCGTCGTGGTTACATCAGGACGATACACTTGTTGCCACTGACAACTGACGCGGACACATTGGTATCAGCCGACGTCCCGCCTCGCTCCGCGCCTCAGTTTCCCACACCAGGACCCGCATCGCAACTGGTCCCCGTGCCTCCCTCGCGCCTCGGGGCCGTGGCGGTGTCCGAGACCGCCGTTTGCGATGGCCCTGCGAGTCCGAGGAGCGCCGGCCAGGGACGCCGCAGGCCGCGCCCGCGGGCTGTCCCAGGCTGGACCGGGCGGCGCCACGGACGCTTCGTGCCGGCGGGCAGGAGACGGGTATCCGGGGAATGCGTCCGAGCTCCTGTCTGCACGTGCGGCCTCGGCCGGCCTGCTGGGGCTCACGGGGCCGGGCGCGGGCTCGCCCTGGGCGGGACACATGGGGCACCTGGGGGCAGGACGGGAACAGCCGAAACGACTGCTCAGCGGCGGCGTGCGCAGACCAGGCAGACAGCGTGTGCGGAGCTGAGCGAGGCGGCCTGTGCTCCCGGCCTGGCAGCCAGGGAGGCTCGGCGGGCGGGCGGAGGGCAAGAGGGGGACAGGTCGGCCAGTCACAACCTGGGACTCGAAGGATGGCTGAGCCCTCCCCGGGGGAGGGAGGAAGTGACAGCCTCCAGCAGCCGCAGAACCTGCAGGGACAGGGATGTGCCAGGCTGCCCGGGCAGGCGCTTTGCCTCCCTGTGCCTCAGTTTGCTCATCTGTGAATTGGGCACCCGGGAAGGAACACGACTGTGACGCCCAAGGGCTGAGCTCGAGGCTGGGCTTGTGACGGGCACTCTTCACGCCCCTCCCCACAGCCCACGGGGCCCTGCGTGAGCCCGTGCCCGCTTATCAGACCCCGGCCCCTCCCCCTGCGCTGGCTCACCCAGCGCCAGCCACACCAGCCTCCGGGCCGAGCTGTCCCCCGCAGGGCCTGGTACCGGCTGGGCCACGGCCGCCCGGACACTCCCCCAGATGGCCACGCGGCTCCCTCGCAGCTGCCTGCAGCCGGGCCGGGGCCAGTCCCCGCTGGACAGGACACTCTGCCACCCGCCACCCGCCGCCTGGGCGAGGGTCAAGGCAGACGGGCGTGGGCGTGGGCGGTTGAGGGGCCGGGGCATGGGGGTGGCACGTGGCCTGCCTGGGACTGCAGCCTCGCAGCTCCGGGGAGAACAATTCTCCCTCCTAGAGGCGGCCCCTGGGCGGGAGGGCGCAGCCTGGCTAGGAGCGTGGGTACAGGGGTGAGAGCGCCGAGGGGGCAGAGGGCCGGGCAGGGCGTGGAGGCCGGAGGCGAGGCCCCGGGCAGGGGGCCGGACCCTGACGGCGCAGGGTGGGGGCCGCCCGGGACCACAAGGAGTCCCTGCTCCCCTCTCCCCAGCCCAACTCTGTACGAGCCTCGGTTTCCCTCATCTGTGCCTGGAACAGCTGCTGCGGGAGCCCTGAGGCAGGGAACAGGGGCGGGGTGCTGCGGAGGGGTCCCCTGAGGCCGGGAGGTTGAGGTTGGCGCCGAGACAGCTGGGCCGGGGGCGGGGGGGCGGCTTCGGGAACACAGCCGGAGGGGCCATTTGCAGGGAGCCCCAGTCTTTCCAAGTGACAGGTGTGGCCCAGGAAGAGCCGCCTCCGTCCCAGAGGCTGAGCTCTGCGGGCCGCGGCGGCCGCCCGGCACTGCACAAGCCCAGGCACCCGAGCCCCCAAGGGGCTTCCTGGGGGGCCTCAGGACGGGCCACGCAGTGTCCCTTTGTCCCCCTTCTGCTGGAAAGCTCAGTCACAACAACGCTGACCGCCCAGGCTCACTGGCCGCCGCGGAGAGATGCTGAGCTAGCATTCCCCTCGCTGCAGCCCGCGGCAGAGCGGAAAAAGACAAGACCAGACGGAGAGAGAACAAAGCAGCCTTGAAGAAAGAACAGCCACCCGCAGCACGGAGCCCGCCGGCCCTGCGCCCACGGCCTGGGAGCGTTCTCGTTCTGCTTCTCGCAGTGGCTGGGACGGCTGCCCGCCTCCAGGGCTCAAACCCCAGCTCTGCCACCTCGCTGGGTGTGGCCCCAGCCAAGTTACATAACCACCACTTTGGTCTCAGCTTGTCTTCGCATAAAATGGGATTAACAGCAGAGCTTGCCTCTAAAGGGTCAATGCTGGCACTTCCTGCTTGTGCCCGGGCGTGGCTGCGAACGCGCGCGTGTGAGCGTGGGCGTGCACGGGCCGCCCAGCCCCCTCCTCTCCGCTGGGCAGGCTGGAGGGCTGCCTGGAGGCGGTGACTGCAGTACCCAGTTTCCCTTAATTGTCAGGAACGTGTTTTGTTGGAACTGGGCTATTTCAGACCAAGGCCAGACGGTAGGAACCAAGTAGATCCGGCACACGGAAGGTCCCTAATCTCTCCCACAGGTGACGGGGCCTCAGCCTCGGCCGAAACAGCCCAGCTCCAAGGGAGCAGGGTCCCGAGAGCCATGGACAATGGCTGCTGCCACCTCCTCCTGACAAAGGGAAGGGCGGTGCGGCCGGGCTACGCGCGCACTCACACGCATGTCACCCTCACCCCACAGACACGCCGAGACACGCCCTCCCACTCACACCGCCGAGCTCAGGGTCACTCGAACACCCTTACCGACACACAACAGCGACACATTCCCCGTGCAGAGACTCGCGCTCACACGCGTGCTCACACAACCTTCCGACAGACGGACACGGACAGATGGATCCCCACCTGCGGACATGCCGCCCCACGCACGCCAGAGACACGCACCCGTGCAGAGATGCACACACTCACACACGCATGCACACACAACCTTCCGACAGGCGGACACAGGCAGGCAGACCCCCGCCTGCACACACGTCGCCCCACGCCAGAGACACGCACCCCGTGCAGAGACACGCATACTCACACACGCACACACAACTTTCCAACAGACAAACATGGACAGACGGATCCCCGCATGTGCACACACTGCCCCACGCACGCCAGAGACACACACACGTGCAGAGACGCGCGCACTCACGCATGCACACACAAACTTCCAACCAATGGACAGACAGACCCCTTCGTGCACACGTGCCGCCCCACACACGCCAGAGACACGCACCCCGTGCAGAGACACAGGCTCACACACGCACACACACACACAACCTTCCGACAGACAGGCACAGGCAGACGGACCCCCGCGTGCACACACGCAGCCCCACACACGCCGAAGCGCAGTCACGGAGATGGGCTGTCCCGCTGGCGCCGAGCGGGCTGCGGGCCCACCGAGTCGCGGCACGAGACGCGGCAGTCTCCAGCGGCAGCACCGCGGCCTTCGCCACTGCAGCCCGCAGGCGCGGAGTCACGGTGCAGCCCGCAGGCGCGGGGTCACGGCGCAGCCCGCAGGCGCGGGGTCACGCAGTGACTGCGCCCATGAGCCAACCCCGGCCACCAGGGCTGCAGCCCACCCGGCCCTCACACCCCTCGCCCACGCTCACGGCAGACACCACTGATCAATCCACACCCCTCGCCTGTGCTCACGGCAGACACCACTGATCAATCCACACCCCTCGCCCACGCTCACGGCAGACACCACTGATCAATCCACACCCCTCGCCTGTGCTCACGGCAGACACCACTGATCAATCCACACCCCTCGCCTGTGCTCACGGCAGACACCACTGATCAATCCACACCCCTCACGCCTCGCCCTCCCTGCGTCTCCCGGCAGGCACTGCCCCAGATGAAATTCCTGGCTGACGAGGAGGACGAGGACTCCCGCCCGCGCCCTCGCCCCAGGCCTGGCCTTTAGGCGGAGCTCAGTGGATGCTGGTTGAATGAACAAGCGATTCCCTAAAACCAGGTTGCCAGAGAGAGACTGAGATCTGGATTTTTCAGATGAAGAAACCGGGGCTGGAGGTCACAGGGCCTTTCCCCAGAGGCGCAGAGAGCCGCCGGCCGGCCTCCCCACCGAGCTCTGGGTGTTGGGGCACGGCGCCCCCCCTGCCCCCCCTTGGAGCGCCGGGCTGCCCCTCCCCAGGTCTGGGCCCGAGGGGCGGCTTCCTGGGGCTCCCGTCTGCCCTAGGGCCGCGCTGGCTCCCAGCCCAGCGAGGTGGTGACTGTCCCTCTCCATAGGGGAGGGCGCCTGTCTCCATGGCAACGGGGGACGTGTCTGCCCGAGCTGGGGGGGGTGTCGGGAACACCCACGTGCTGGCGGCAGGACCGGGTGCCGGCCTGGCTCCCACGGGGCAGCGGGCGGGAGGTGACGCCCCGGGCCCATGCTCGCCCCGAGACCGCGGCTGTGCCCTCCTCGCTCCTGCAGCGGAGAAAGAATAGCCGCGCTCCGCGCGGGCCCAGCGCTGCCACCGGCATGCCCACTCGGCATGCACCCGTGTGGAGACCCAGTGGGGAGGCCGGAGACCAGCCCAGGCCCGGGAGCCCTGCTGTGCGGGTCCCGCGTGTGGCCGCGGGGCGGAGCAGCCGGAGCGCGAATGCCGCCTCCTGCGCCCCAGCTCCGTGCCCTGGGCAAGTCTCTTAAGTCCCTGGGCCTCAGTGTCCCCATCTGTAAAATGGGGACGACAGCGGTTTCGAGGGCAGTCACCTGCTTTTTTCTTTTTTTTAAGTGTGCGATTCAGCGTCGCACGCGTGTGCCCTTCCAAGCCGGCCGTTCACCCAGCGTCACGCTTCCAAGGC